GTTCGAGCCTTGACGCACGCGTTACGCCGCGCCTCTGGCTCCATGTTAATGTTTTACGCTTCAGTCTTCAGCCCACTGGCGGGACGGGCCAGTGAAGCCTCCGCGCGGCCCGCCCGAGCACCCGCGGCACCAGATGGTAACAGTCGCAAGAAGGTGTAAGGCTTTGAGCCGGCATCAGCGATCACCGAAAGGTGTACGTGCCGCCGCGGTCGGGGGCCGGCAGCCTGTTAGCGCACGTGACAGTGGCGGCGGACCGCAGCGTGTATTGCCAGCGTGGCGAGGTGGGCGGCGACCTTCGACAGCACACCAGCGAGATGGCGGACACGGTGAGTGCCGGGCGTGGTGAGTTCGGAATGAGAGGCCTGCAGTGAGGAAACTGGCGATAGCGCGTTAACAACTGATGATAGTCATTGTGCCCTTAGTCCATGTAAAGTGGTATTTGCTAAGCCGCCCTTGGGTTTACTTTGACATTGAATGACACGTCCGCATCACGGAATGGTTCCGCTCAGATTCTCGGCTCCACGAGAGGATATTTCCCAGTTAAGCAGGGATCAGCATGTAACACAGAGATCCTTGTGTCAGGTGTACGGCGATCAGTACACGGCCAGTGACGCCTTACCGGCCGCCAAAGTGCCGAACCATGCCGTGTCTTGATCTCGATATAAGGAGTGGATGAGCCCGTGTGTTGCCTTGCCACATGCCCCCTCTTCTGATCCGCGGAGGGCGATTCGTCAACGATGTGGATGACCCTGTGTGTTGCCTTGCCACAAGACCCTCTTCTGATCCGCGGAGGGACGGGTCGTCAGCGATGTGGATGACCCCGTGTGTTGCCTTGCCACAGGGCCCTCTTCTGATCCGCGGAGGGCGGGTCGTCAACGATGATCGCATATTTGACGCCGGACGTGCTGGTGGAGGACGGCATTATACAGTGGGTATCGCGACGGTGGCTGCTCTCGCGCTTTGCGCCGCCTATCCCTGATAAGAAATATGAAATGTAACAAACGACACCGGCCGGTGGGACTGGTGGAGTGGGTGCAACCACACGGCAACGTGGTGACAGTCACGCAGAGGGGTAACAAACGACACCGGCCGGTGGGACTGGTGGAGTGGTGTTGGCAACCACCACGGCAACGGGACGACAGTCACGCAGAGGGGTGTTGTTTCTATGATATCAGCATGTCGGACAGACGCTCGAGCTTGCTGCGTATGGATCAGAGGTGCATTAACAATCGCCCCAAAATCCGTCACCGGACTAGCACCATGTCTGCCGGCCTGGCGCCGTCATGGTTTGGCCGGCGCCCTCCAGCTGGCAGCATCGGCAGAGCTCTAGCGCTGCCAACTGGAGCACCGAGGCCGTGCCACCCACCGGAGTTGATTCCGGAATACCGAGGCCGTGCCACCCACCGGAGTTGATTCCGGAGCACCGAGGCGGTGTCAACCACCGGCGTTTGTTCGGGAACGGTTGCCGGTACAGTGACAATCGAAATTTTGCTCCTGTAATGTATCCAGCAGACGTGCTGGTGTTCTGGGTGTGTGCCACTGCTGACCCAAAGCGCCTCGGACGCGGCGCCAAGGGACGTTGGTGACCAACGCTGCCGACCAACTGCGCCTCGGATTTGGGCGTAACTGGTTGTGCTGCCGTTTACTGGCGTGCCGCCGTTTGAACAGAGTGCTCTACACTCGTGTGGGTTTTACACTGAAAGACATTGTGAAGATAAGACAGTAGAAATGGCATTGTTTCTCGGAGAAAACCAGGGGAATGGAGAAATAGATTGGTTGATATTTCGGTAACGCACCTTTATCGAAGCAATAGAGGTGAATTCAAAATGGCACATTGTTCCATAAATCGATGACTACCCGCTAGTTAACGCTCCTTGATGGTCGACTTTCAAAATGCTTTCGTACTGCACGGATTTTCCGGTGAGAACTGCCGCGGCGTCCTCCACACCTGATGACGACATACGGGATCAGAAATGCCCAAGGGACGTGGTTCATCTCGCCAGACCTCTGTCGTTAAACGGTCATTCCAGACAATTTTGAATAATCGACTATGGTGTCTCGCGTAATTGCATTAGTCTGCAAACACCGACACTTCGCACGGGATATCTCCATTTGATCGCGTATGAGCAACTAAGGTCTGACGGCAAGGTTTGGTCTTCGCAAGTGACCACCTGTTGATGTACTACAGCAAGCAGGCAGACGATACGGTGTTGGTGGTGTCACTAACCGGCTCTAGTGTGCCCTTTAGCGACCCGTGCTCGTCCCATAAATACTTGGGCTCGCAGTTCGCAAGCACTTCCGCTCTCTAGTGAACACGACGCGCACGTTGTGTTAATGGCTTCGGGTCCAGCTCGTTGCGTTAGCAATAAAGCCAGGCTGGGCTGGACGGCCGTACCCCACACGTATGGGATATATAGTTAAGGCGCACGGCAATGTGGCAAACAATGCTTCGGTACAATATTAATTAGTTTTTTTGCATGTGAACTGGTCGGCATTGAGAATGGTGCTCATCAGAAGTCATGTCATAATGTGCATTTGTTTCAGCTCGTTCAGCATCAATCGGTTTCTTAAGTGATTGGTCGATAATTGCTGTAGTTTTAGTCAACTTTCATGGCTCGTAGTAAATCTGACATTGTTGTACATGGTTATCTTTAGGAACTGGTCTTTGCCTGGCGTACGGCCTGAGCCAGGCCAATGGTCTGAACCAAGCCCATGGCCTGAACCAGGAATATGGCCTGAGCCAGGCATTTGGCCAGAGCCAGGCATTTGGCCAGAGCCAGGCATTTGGGCTGAGCCAGGCATTTGGCCAGAGCCAGGCATTTGGCCAGAGCCAGGCATTTGGCCAGAGCCAGGCATTTGGCCTGAGCCAGGCATTTGGCCAGAGCCAGGCATTTGGGCCAGAGCCAGGCATTTGGCCAGAGCCAGGCATTTGGCCAGAGCCAGGCATTTGGCCAGAGCCAGGCATTTGGCCTGAGCCAGGCATTTGGCCTGAGCCAGGGTGCCAGCGACGTTATAAAACGATGCCCCGTGAACAAATCCTAAAGTAACGCAGAGATGCGCTGTGCGATATTCTGGCGGTATATTTTAGATGTCGTTGAGTTTTACTCGTTAATTTCCTACACTCGTTGAGACCCTCGGCTGCTGCTAAATCCGCAATATTGCATTCCATATAAACGGCTCGTCAAAATGTTGCATAGAAACCTGTGTAATTGAACCCCTCTCTGGCAAATTCAAAAAAGCATCGACAGATAGAATTGGTTCTTCATGGGAACCACAACCACTAGATTTGATTCCCGGCGGTGCCCGCCTCTTCTGTCAGGATGGGAAACATGCAACGTCACATGACCTCCACTGCTGAGTGCGTTGTGAAGCCCCAATGATGACAGCAACCGGTCGTAGTCGTCATCATTGGGACTAAACGACGCCCTTAGCTGCTGAGACTCTATGGCGTCGCTTGCCTCTCACCCTGGCAGGAAGGGTGGACAAAGCGGGGAACAACAGCTGGTCGTAAGTAATAAACGAGAGGCCCGAATGCGTTGTGACGAACACGGTGACCGTTCCAGAGCGATCGGCACCGACCTGGCCGTCCCCGGAGGAACGCGCGTCATCGAGGCCGCAGGCAGATATGTCATGCCTGGTAAGACGGGCGGCTCAGCGCTGCTGACGTGGTTCGATGTGGCAGACCCCAACAGCGAGCTTGGTGGCAGTCCTTTTGTACTCCACCCTGACTCTTTTGTACTCCACCTTGACTCTTTTGTACTTCACCCTGAGCCTTTTGTGTGTGTCTAGGGACCGCCTGACTTTTATATGTCTAAGGCCTACCCGAATGGGCTGGGTCTAATTTGCGTAGTGATAAGGAAGTACCGTTACTTTCCTGTTGCTACGGGCTGAGGACTTACGGCAACGGCAAAATAGATTGTGGATTCTAGGATCTCAGAAGCTCAAATAAAATAGCATTTATCTGATTAACCCAATCGTATTTCCCCTCAAAGCCCCATAAAATTTGAAGTTGAGCGCATTCAGGTGGGGTAGAGGAAGGAAGAATTGTAACTGAAAATGCTAATGTTTTTTTTTTAAATTCTCATATAATGAATTTTAAGAGTGCATTTTAAGTAACAAGCCATGCCATATAAGTCATAACCCCTAGATGATAAAGTATTAATTGCAACATATAACTTGTGGCAATTTTACCAAAAAAATTAAATCATGAAATGATAAATAGCAGAAATTGTAAATTCAACATAAAGTAAAAAGGAGGAAGAAGAGATTTGCTGGTCGTGCAATTTGTACTTCTATGTCGGGTATATGTTTGCCAAAAAATCTGAATCTTAGAATAGTGTTTCCAGATTAGGGCCATCATATCCACCCTGGTCTGTGCTTACGAAAACGGCAAAATGCCATAATACGATACCCTTGGCGACCTCCATCACCACAGCCAATCAAACTGATGAAGTCTTATGGAGAAAGGCTGAGACATTTCGGGCGCATCACTCGTGCAAAATATGTCATGAACATGTATCTGTTGCCGCAAAACATAACCTGCCGATTTACCTCCTTCGTGCAACAGCCATTTTTCCAAATGGCGTGTTTTCCACGACGGCGTTGACGCCTCCCAGCTCGTGTTTGGCGTTCCGATTTTATACAGGGAAAAGTTTGAGCCACGTGGCGAACGCAGAAGGCTAATAACATGTGTGTTACGGCCTCTTCGGTGAGGCTCCTGGCCCGCTGAAACGCCATCAGAGCCTCAGCGGCGTGGTGGCATGTGATAACAATAACAAGGACAGTAACGCGCTGAAAATGAGCTCGAGAATTCTATGTCCAGTGCATATGTGTGGAAGGCAAGCGGTTGCAAGAAGTGTGAATTGCACGTCTAATCATAATCACGATGTCTACGGTGTTTCATCTTGCCCTTTAAGAATAGACCCACGTGGGTGTATGTTGTCGTGGTGTTACTACACAACAGGGGTTTATTAAATGTTGGTGTTTTCGTTCGAAAACGCAGTCTATGTTATCCGTGCATACTTCTTGTGTGAGGAGCTCAATTGTTGACGTAAGCATCACCACTTTTAATTTACGTTTCCCACAAAGTTTGTTCTGATTTGTCCCCACGGAAATTGGTTAGTTGCGCAGTTTTTATGCATTCATGTTTACAAAATGATTCATCAAACATTTCAGAAAGCTGCTGGTCCCCAAATCGCTACCCCTACAAAATTGTTCACCTCTTTTGGGGAATAATGGAGCGGCGATCCTCCTTACTGCTCTGCAGCTGCACCCTCAGCTTCGAATCATTTTGTAGCGTGGTTTTCAGTATATCCGCCGACTTGTGGTTGCTCTGTCACTTTTAAGACGTTTAACACACCTTAAACTATTGTGTTAAGATCTTTCATGGTCAAGGATACCAACGTTTGAAATTTTGTTCCACGCGCGCGGTGTACCTACTTGCGGAACGGAAATTTTGTTCCACTTGCGGAGCGATATTTGCCTTTATGTTACGATTCAGTTTGTCAACTTCCCTGGAAATCAAATTTCTCTGCTTGATATTTCTTTTGCGTGCTCTGGCTTTGTTTGAGATACAGACAGACTGGGTCGAGCTCTGAAGAGGTGCGTGTCGGTCCGCCTGGCACGTAGTCGTACGTCATGCCGACATTGTTTATGTTCTATACTTGGCGGCTGGAGACCCGTAAACGGATCAGCTCTCTGAGGCGTGCGGATCATGTTTGAGACATGTCAGCATCCGTCCAGTGCCGGCCGTTGCTCTGGTGGCACGCGCTTATGATGTAATCATTAGTTTGCTTGGGACACGCCGTGACAAGCAGGGAAAAAATGGCTTCGGTGCGAACCATAGGCATTGAGTGTGTACCATTTCAACGTCCGTGCTACTTAGCGACATCCCGCGTTTTCATAAGCGCTTCCACTCATGTGGTATGTGAAGTTATTAATGGAGTTGATAGGTACAAATGGTTCAAGATTGCGAAAGATTGTGTTTTCATAACTGCTCCGGCAGTTTTATTTGCTTTTTGTATTTTCGACAACTTGTAGGCACGTATTTGTTTGCACCTACTTATTACATTTAGAGGTGAAAGGAGTAAACGTGGGCTTTGAAGGCTACGCATTTACCTAGGAAAGTTCTACGTCGATCCAATCACCGGTCGCCGTGCTATGGTCTCAGTGATTTGTGAAAGGCATGTGTCAAAGGGTCTTTGCTGGATTATAGCTGAATGATAAACATAGTGACCATGAGAAATCGTACCTTCTTGGTAACGCCAACCTACGTGAGTTGTTCCCAGTCACGTGTTCCCATTTTATTTATGAAGACAATATGACTTCTTAGCCTCAGGTCACGGCACCGACCGTGACTTTAAGTGATGTAGAAACGATGCAGTGGACTTATTAAAAACTTTGTGATCACTGCGCATCAAAAATTGTGAGTATGCAATCATTAAGCAATGGGTCAATTGAGGGTCAGTACGACCTGGTGCTACTTTCCTTATGGCAGTGCTTTAGTCCGCCGAGATGTCACGGCTGAAGACACAATACGACATTGCAACGTCCGCCGAGATGTCACGGCTGAAGACACAATACGACATTGCAACGTCCGCCGAGATGTCACGGCTGAAGACACAATACGACATTGCAATGTTTCCGTTACTCGTGAACTGTTGGGTTGATAAGTGCTTTCGGGAGTTCGTCATTTCTTACACATGCTAGAAAAAAATGAACCATGGTAATTAAACTAGAGACTTAAGAAATGAAACTGCAAATAAACTTCTGAATCAATCACGGTTCCATCGCTAGCCCGAATGTCACTTGCTTTTCATATTTGTTTATTGCTGACACACTGTTCTTGTGATTTTTGAAGCCCGTGAACAGGCAGCGTACGAAAGGAAGATTATTTGTTTGAGACCACGTACAACACGATCAGTCAATTATATCTTATATGCCCGAAGATAGAAGAAGCATCTGCATGGGCCCAAGCTCTCGTGAGCCGCACGGAGGTAGGGTTCATTTAACTGGGGCAGTCATCAAATGACATCGCTTCAGAAAATTATTTGTGTGAAACTCAGCTAGCCAGTATGAAATTGTAAGGTCCGGTCCATCGATGTGAGGCATGTCTGAGGCGCAAACCCACAACTCAGTTAGCCGATATTACTGTGTGGGGACCGTTCCATCTGTACCGGGCTTGTCTGGCCGGTCACACTCTCTTGGTGACACGAGCGCACGGCCCGCAGCGCTTGGCTCGCGCGGTGTGTGACCGCGGGTCCATTGGGGGTCCCGCGGTCACACACCTTGAGGGCCTTGGGGTTCATTGGGGGTCTTGAGGATCCATTTTCCAACCAGGAACAAAGCCGGAATGGGGACCTTGTGTTGGCAAGGGGCCCCAAGTTGGCTGGAGGCAGTGTTCGAGGAGGACCGAAGGGCCTGGAGGGCCCACCGGGAACGACTATCAGGAGTCAGATTGGAAGGTTGAGAGTACGAAGGGTTGGCTGGGGTCTTAATCAGGGTCCTGGTCTGCGGGAACGTGCCATCAAATGACAGTCAGAGCGTCTTTTGCGCCGACCGGGAAACCCTGAGTCGATATGGGCCTATATGTCCGTCAGGCACCACCAGCACCGCGCAGTCAGCTCCGTGTCGGAACGGACCGGATCGTCCACGTCCCAGTCAGCTACTAAGCCGGGGCCAGTGATCTGCGCTGGTGGGGATCCCTTTATCTGTCAGGGGCCCACAGTGCCTAACAAAGGGTCTCGTGTTTGTAAGGGGCCCGAGCCGACCAAGGACAGTGTTCGACGAGATCTGAAGAGGGGCTCGGACGGCCCACCGGAACGGACGATCAAAGGCGCGGTTTGAGGGCATAGGGGCCTGAAGGACTGGCTTCAGGTCACATGAGGAAACGCAGCCCGTAGGGATGCGACCTGCAATATTAGCCAGAGGTCCTTTTGCACCATCTGAGGGCTCCCTGAGACAATTCGGACTCCTCAGCCGCCAGAGAACACGAACACCGAACAGCTGGCTCCCTGGTAGTTTGAAACGTGGCGCCATTTTCCAAGCAGGAGCAAGGCCGGAGGCCACGATTTGTATTGATCGGCTGTCTGAAACAATGGCTGGGGCTCCTGTGTCGGTCAGGGGCTCATGATGCCTAACAGGAGGTCAGTGTCGGCCTGTGGCCCCGAGTCGGTCACGGGCTTTTTAAGGGGGTTCGAAGGGGGGCCGAAGGGCCCCGGGACCAAAGATCAATGGCCCGGTTGGAGGGCTGAATGACGCGAAGGGCTGGCCGCGGGTCGCATGAAAAACTCCATCCGTAGGCACGTGATCTCAAATGTCTGTTACAGGACCTCTTGTGCCGACTGAGGACTACTGAGACGAGAGTGTTCATTTATTTCGGGCGGAGATTACCAACACCCAGCTGTCGCCTTCAGATCAGTCTGAGCACTTGGGGCTCATTTTCCAGGCAGGGGCAAGGACGGGCCCGCGATTTGCAAAAGGGCCATAACCGGCGAGTTTTCCGGGGGAGGGCCCTTTCACTATCAGGAGGCCCTTCGTCAACCATACGCTCCCCCCCCCCCCCCCCGTCCTTGCCAAGGTTCTCATTGCGCGCCCGATCGCAGCTCAGCTCAGCGATCCCGGCCTGGCTGCCATTCCATTCTACCAAGGTTTTCCAGGAAAACACTTGCCACCACCCTACAGCAGGCAAGTCTCCCGCTGCCAGGGGTGTTCAAATCTACCCTACAGCAGGCAAGTTTCCCGCTGCCAGGGGTGTTCAAATCTTCGCGATGATGAAAGACGACCCACTGGGTCGGTCCACAACGATGCACAGGCACTTCTAAGACGAACTGCTTCTAAGAATGGTTGGAAAGCTGCGGTTTCCAAACGCCTCCGGAGTTTGGCTCATATAAGGCGGGGTGGAAAGACGAATGCGCCTTGGTCACGCTAGTAGCGCGGCAGCTGTACCTATGTCCTATGTGCAAACGCTGCAGAAAGCGTGTGAACGGGCCCAGTACAGTCCGAGGCTTAAGCAGATGTGTAACGCTTCCCCCAATAGCTACATGTGCGGTACGTTTAAAGAGCAAAATGTAAGTGCTTGCTTGCAATCGCCTGCTGGCTCATCACGGTGCGGAAGATGAAAAGAAATAAAAAAACAGCCTACAAATAAGTAATAAAAAAGCATCCGGAAAGAATTTGCACCGTGGTAGGTACAGCCACCGGCTGCTACGGCACGGCCTGGCCAGGAAATATAGCACTGTGCTACACAACCGCGGCAACCCAATTCTTGAAGCATCCGTGTACCGTCCAAAGACGAGCGCTCTCGGCCCTGGTGACGCCGGTCCCCTGTGTGTATCCCCGGGCGTTTCCGTTGAGCGATTGTGGAGTAAAGAGAGCGACGTGGAGGCACATATGATCTGTATAGGGTCCATTTCGACCTGAATAGGGTCCATGCTGGTTTGTAAGGGACGCATAATCTAATTTAACAGGCCATTTTGACAAGTCGGTGCTCGCCTCTCCCCCTTCCTCCCCCCCCCCCCCCCCCCACCAACTTGAGCATATTTCCCGCGTTCCTGCTGATAGTTTTGGGATTTAATATTTTCAATCACTATGGTGTTTGTATTTGATGGCTTGTCAACATCATGTTTGGCTATGCAAATAGTTTTACTTATGATTGGCTAGTAGAACTGTGTATGTACTCATCAATCAGTTCTGACAATCTGGAACATGAAAAGGAACTGTACCATTTAAAAGATATGCTACAACTATTAACAGCATACCCAGAACAATAGCTGAACAATAACAATAGCAAACAACAACAACAGAACAACAATACCAAACAATAACGTATTGAGGGCATATTTACTGAATGGAAAAATTGTGTTGTCCGCAGCAGTCTTTTCCATGCATTATGCCAGTAGTTATAAGGGAATATATTTCATCACGTCTGATGCTTCCTTCAATATATTCAAATGTGGAATATTGGATTTAAGTTAGAATTCTAGCATATAAACTTCGTTCCGCTGTTTTGCCTGAGTCTAGCTTAAGATATGTTCAAATCACTAAACGCGCTTCTGAGTAACAATTACTGGTGCTATGCTATGTCGCAGGTGCGCGGAGCTCGTCCTCAATTGGACCATGTGTGTGCGTGTGCGTGTGCGTGTGCGTGTGCGTGTGCGTGTGCGTGTGCGTGTGCGTGTGCGTGTGCGTGCGCGTGCGCGTGCGCGTGTGCGTGTGCCTTTGCCTTTGCCTTTGCCTTTGCCTTTGCCTTTGCCTTTGCCTTTGCGCGGGGAGAGGGCGGCTCAGAGGCATTGTTGTACCTTTCTTTCCACGTACCGTCATGAGGTTAGTGCTGAACCTTCCCATATGTGTTGAGGTCCGTACGCCGCATGCTCATGACGCAATAACTGCCGAGGCTGTAAGCTGGTGACACTTAACGAATTTTCTCATTTGTTTTTGCTGCTGTTTTCTGCAAGCGTCGGTCATTGCCGCCCAAATTAGATACATACTAGACACTTTGAAGTTGCTGAACAACTTCGCTTCGCCCACCTATCTCCCTCGGTCTTTCTGGCTGCCACCGGCGGCCTGGCCGACCTCCGCTGTCCACCGCGTCGCCTCCGGGGCTAACCGTCTGCTCGGCCACAGGCGGTATCGACACGCACACGCACATGCAGCTGCCGTTCATGGGCACGTCGGCCGTCGACGACTTCTACTGGGGAACGCGCGCCGCGCTGGCCGGCGGCACCACCATGATCCTGGACTTCGTGCTGCCGCAGCGGAACGAGTCGCTCGTCTCTGCCTACGTGCAGTGGCGCCGCTGGGCCGACGACAAGGTCTGCTGCGACTACGGCTTCCACGTCGGCGTCACCTGGTGGTCGGATAAGGTACGGCACGCGGTGGGAGGGGGCTGAGGCTCGTGGCGTATATTAGCAGTTGGCGACACGGCATGGTCTCTGTGACGGTGCAGACTTAAGTGTGACGGCTGACACAAGTGCAGCTTACGAAAACGTCGTGTTCAGTTCGTATGTCTTCCTGCGTATGCTGTAAATGGAGCATGTATAATCGAAACCTGACATTTCAAGGTGAAAAGTTCCCGCTTTTGCCACAGCTTATCCGTACTATATATATATATATATATATATATATATATATATATATATATATGCATACATACATGAATGCACTTCTTCATTCGTATTTAAGCATCTAGCCATAGATGCAGAACATAATAAAGTGGGCGCAGCATCCCCAAATACTTGCATGTTTTTTTTTTTTGAAGCATGCCCGCTCCAGCACCTTTGGCGCACCAACTTCTCCGAGTATACTCCACCAATGGGCATGGCCTTGTTTCCCAATGCCAGTGGTCCGTCATGCTTTCACTTGATGGCGTTGAGGAGGATTTGATTCGTTTCGCTGCACTCAAATCATGACTAATGACTCAAGCGTGCGACACGGGGAGTCCTAATTTAAATCGTTGCTCGCTTGGTGCGTAGTTAACTTTCTTCTGGTGCAATTTAAGACAGGTCACTTCAATTGTTCCTCACCTGGCCACAGCCAAAGCACAAAATAAATTTGTTGTCTGGTACAAAAAATCATCATCTATATCCATGCACTGCTCAAGACTATTTTGTGCTTACTTCCGCCTGCAAGTGGGCTAAAATTGAAATTCCTAGCTGTGTGCGCCTCATTTTCACGGTCATGTTCCAGGTCAAGGAGGAGATGGCTCAGCTGGTTGACGAGTGCGGGGTCAACTCTTTCAAAATGTTCATGGCCTACAAGGACACCTGGCAATTACTGGACGAAGATTTGCTAAAATCGTTTACCCAGTGTAAAGCCATCGGAGCCCTCGCACAAGTTCATGCGGAAAACGGGGACATCATCAAAGAGGTATATTTTTTCGTCCAACGGTGTGATAACTTCTCGTAGTTATTGACATGCAATTTGATGGCTGATCAAAACTAGCTGTTCTACATGGCGGTGGCATGCTAGCTTACTTTCTATCTACCGGATCGGGCGATTACAGTTGGGGCAGGAGCGGGTGGGGGGACACGTTCCTTCAAGAGCGGCAGGGATAGGTGAAAATGGTTACAGCCATTTTTCGATCAGCCTTCAGATTTATTCATAAGCATTGTGGCTCAACTGCCCACGGCCTTGCAATGCCTTGACGTGGTCGAGTTTCGTTTGCGGTTATAGGGTCACTATAGAGCTGTGCGGTTATAGGGTCACTATAGAGCTGTGCGGTTATAGGGTCACTATAGAGCTGTGCGGCTATAGGGTCACTATAGAGCTGTGCGACTCCCATCCGAAGTGTCCGTGTTTTGGCCGCTGGCGTATTTTCCGCGCAGCGCGGCAGCCGCCGGATGACAGGGTCCCTTGCTTTCCGCTTTACAGTGTGGTTCTCGCTGTGATGGCATACCTGTATCTAGTCTCCCTGCTATGCCATATCCGTATCCACTGACCGTTCGATGTGTCCCCACGCCGCATCATCGTCATTATCAGCTCTCGTCGACATCTGATGGTTGCTACCAACCGCCCGGCAGATGAGCCAGCGGATGCTGGCGGCCGGTGTGACCGGGCCCGAGGGTCACGAGCTGTGCCGACCGGAGGAGGTCGAGGCTGAGGCCACCAATCGCGCCTGCGTGCTGGCCAACCAGGTGGGCTGCCCCCTGTACGTGGTGCACGTGATGTCCAAGTCGGCGGCCGACGTGGTGTCGGCCAAGCGGCGCCAGGGTCACGTGGTGTACGGCGAGCCGATCGCCGCTGGCCTGGGCACCGACGGCACCCACTACTGGAACCGGTGCTGGCGGCACGCGGCCGCGCACGTCATGGGCCCGCCGCTGCGACCCGACCCCAGCACACCTGCCTACCTCATGGACATGCTGGCCAAGTAAGGAGCCGGGCGTGGGAGGCAACTGGGGCGGCGGCGGCAGCCCGCTGGCCTCGTCCTCGGTGTGCGATAGTAAGCTGATGTTAGCCGGAATGTTCTGGGGATTTTATCGGAACGTTTTCGGTGCGCTTCGTGCGCTGTAAAGGTTGTATCTCATCGTTGCGGGGTCGTTAGCCCATGACCTGTGCTGACTGCTTTTTTAGATTCCTGGCTAAAATCGGCATGAAAATATCGGCAAACTATGAACGACGCAAAGCGACCACAATTGTTAAATCTGCGATAACTTAATGCAAGTAAACCATCGACGGCATGTGGATTGTGTATGAACTACGACACGGCCGTGGTCCCTCAAGGGTAATTTGAGGGACCTAAAGATGTCAGAAGATCCGACAATATCAGAACAGAACTAGGTCGTTAAAGGACCATAAACGGCGCAATGCGTCATATGGTGGACTTGACAGGAGTTCAGTCTTCATAAAGGGTTGAATTAAGAATGTGAAAGAAAGCTTGTTCCATATTACCTTCCAAGGCCTTCTGGGCAGAATTGTCACCGCCTTTGCTGGAAGTACGCCTGGTCATGTCCCGCTTGTCATATGTTGAAATAGGCCGTTATGTTGCAGTAACGACCTGCAGTGCACCGGCACGGACAACTGCACGTTCACCTCTGAACAGAAGGCTATGGGCAAGGGCGACTTCACGAAAATCCCGAACGGCGTGAACGGCGTGGAGGACCGCATGTCTGTCATCTGGGAGAAGGGTGTCGCCTCTGGCAAGATGGACCCGCGCCGCTTTGTGGCCGTCACCAGCACAAACGCGGCCAAAATATTCAACGTCTATCCCCGGAAGGTAGGTTAAGTGTCCGAACTTGTTGGCTTTTAGGTGGTACTTTGCACAGGGAAAATGAATGTAATCACTGTTTGAAGGTCAGAAAAGTGAGGTTGACAATCAGTCCGTGAAATAGGAATACTACACGGCTATTCCAACTCACCATAAACGCACGCGTCTTGAAACAGTTGGAATTCTTCTCACTGCACCCGAAACTTTTACTTGCAACATGATCCTGCGCTGATCCCACCTTCCAATCAGTGATAACCCTATGGCATCATTATGGCGCATTACACTGTATGCTGCCATGTCATGGATGTCATCACCAGGCGCGGCATACCATACCTGCTCACCATATGTGGGTAAGGCCGTCCATCCGTCTGCTTCTGTGATCAGCGTGTGCCTGCCTGTCGTCGGTCGGCATCGTCACACGACCCCGTGTCCACGCTCCGCCAGGGCGTCATCGCCGTCGGCTCCGACGCAGACATCGTCGTCTGGAATGGCGAGGCCAGCCGGGTCATCTCGGCGCGCACGCACCACCAGCGCTGCGACTTCAACGTGTTCGAGGGCATGCGGTGCCGCGGCGTGGCCGAGTGCGTGGTGTCGCGCGGCCGCCTCTGCCTGGACGAGGGAGAGCTGCGCGTGGAGCGTGGCGCCGGCCGCTTCGTCGCCACGCCGGCCTTCTCGCCCGAGGTATACTTGCGCGTGCATCAGCGCGATGAGGTGCGCGTGCCGCAGCCGGTGGACCGCAGCAGCACGGCTGACCCGGACTGCCAGGAGAGCGGCGGTGCGCCGGAGCCAGAGCCGGAGCCGGAGCCGGAGCCGGAGCCGGGGTACGCTCCGTCTGCGCCGACCCGGCTGACTCCAGGTGAGTGTTGGACGGAGCCCATCGGAGCAATGTCTGGTGCTTCTCTCACCGACTATAGGCGTGTAAAAATAGTGTTATCGGCGTAGTCCGCACAGCTCCAATTTGGTCGTGTTTAACACTCCTGGGGAAAAACATCAGCTGTGTTGCATTGGCTTGCAAAATATACCAACCCATGGAAAGCGTTGTGTAGTGTAACTCTGGTGGGCACGCTTATGACGTCCGGCACCGTAGATTTTTCACACTCTTGTGCTGGTTTCAAGGTATCAAGGTGTTAGAATCGTGAATGCTAAAAAGTGTACATAAGGACATAGCAGGCGAAACAAAAGGCCCTGGTTTGGGGATGATTTGACATGCTGGACAACATGTTTGATCACTATCCACAATGGGTTTCGCGACCACACGTGTAGTTAGCAGCGGATGGCGACTGACGGAGGACGCGGTGTTTCAGCGGAACGATCGGAGAGCGGCGGTTCTCATCCGAGGACCGGGGTTCGGGTGCAGGCGCCGCCCGGTGGCAAGTCGTCTGCCCTCTGGTGACCGGTGCGCGTGCCCAAACACCCCCGCTGGCGGGCCGAGCCGACAGCGCCGGCCGAAGGCGCCCATTCAGAGGTGTGGGTAGGTGTCGGGTGTCGCGTTAGGATATAACATCTGTACTACATCTTACTAACATTAGCATTTGGCGGATGGTTCGCATCATGCATTGTTGAACGCAATGAACTGTATTCGGGTGTATACACGCATTTGTTAACTGCTGCCACGCATATGCGTCTCTACATTCCACACTGCCAACGGCTTGCCAGCAATCGAGCTTTGGATTATGTTGTGAGCAAATCTGTTTTATAGTTACTAACACTTGAATAAGGGAACGGCCGAAGGTGGCGAATAACGCTCCAAAAGACGGGTGTTGTAGTTTTGGGAATGCCAGCTGCTTTCTCGTGTTTTGGGCATCAGTTTAAGCGTGCAAAAATCGAATATATCTTTTAACCCAATGGATGCCGTACTTTCTGTGCGCAGGGGTCTGGCGGAGGAGTCGCCCACATCGAACCCACACGATACATACCTGGGTTATGACTAGGTCCAGCAGAATGCAACTCCGGCGGCGGGACGTTCACAAACAGCCGCGGTAGTGTTACCGATCGTGATTGTCACACTGCCGCTGATGACCCGACACAAACGTATAAAAATAACAAAATGCGTCGATTGTTATCCGCATTTTCCGTTTGCCAATGATGAGGATGATGACGAAATCAGATCTTAATCCATCCTTTACCTGCGATTTTCCTGTAAATACGTGATGAGCAACAAACACCGTGGCGATGAGTACGGTGGAACGCTGTAATACCCTTGCCAGTGTGGTGTCCTGTCATCTGTATCACCTCTATCGCCATCATGCATGCCACCTTCTTCGTTCAGTATCTTCGTTGAGAGGAAAACATCACGTCAATCTGATCGGCAGACTGCATAAATACTTAACTGCCCGAGTGAGCGTGGCGCCGTAGGCGAGTACCGCTTGATTACTTATTTGTATTGCATGACATTACTTCGTGAATAGAGAAATATTGCAGTTCACTAAACCATTGTCGTCTCCAGTGATGGTGTATCAGTGCAGCATACGTTTACACGAATAGTAGATCCTCGGGCGAACACACAATTTTACAGTTCTCTGAAAGCAACGTGAATGCATTTCCCTGGCAGCCTTGACACCTACAGCTGTCTGACACTGGCCCAGCTGTAGTGCCGAGTGTTCAGTCGTGCGAGATGCTGCGCCAGGCCGGGACGTAGCAGAGCCAGTACACCATGCAGAAGATGATCCAGCAGAGCGCATACAGTTTGAAATAGACCCGCGCGCCGCACCGTTCAACCCGCTCCCAGCGCTGGCCGCCCTGACCCGTCGCCCGCACCACCAACCTCATGTCCAGCACAGCCTCCAGCACGCTGACCAGCGAGAACACCAGGCAGCCGATCTCCCAGGCGTGTGCGGCGGAGCGCGGCGCCTCGCTGCTGGGGCCGCGCCGCTGCGCCGTACCGCACGTCAGCAGCAGCGTCAGCAGGGCAAGAATGGTGACCGGCAGCCGGCTGCGGATCAGCGAGACGGGTACCAGCGCCGCCAGCCAGCTGGCCGACACCAGCAGCGCGCTGGGAGCGTAAAGCCGCGCCAGGTGCGCGCCGATGCGTCGCCGCAACTGCAGCTCCACCGCCTGCTCGTGGGCGGCAGCTGGCTGTCGCTGCCGCACACGCACGGCGAACTTCTGCTGCAGCGCGTCAAAGTCCGGCTCCAGCCGCACGTCAGAGACGTTGAGCCGCGCGTTGGGCGACGTCGAACGCAGCCGGATCAGGCACGTCTGTGTGTCGAACGGGAAGTGGGCGTAGTCGAACTGGCAGTGCTGCGCCACCGTCGCCATGGTGACCTGGTGGAAGAGCCCGCCATTCGTTTCCACGGTGGTGGCCGGCGCCAGGAAGCCAGCGAGGTCGACACGCGTGGGGTCCGCCGGCAGCACGCGCGGTGCAAACAGGTCCTCTTGGTCCGCGTCCCGGTCATCGGTCGCCCAACTCGCCTTTAGGAAGCAGGAGTAGACGATCTCCTTCCGGGCCTCGTGCACTTCGAGCAGGGAGATCAGGCCAAAGGATCCGTGGATGACGGGCGAAGGCGGTGGAGCTGAGCGATGAACTCTGTGTACGTCGTTGCTTTTCTGGCTGGTCTCCAGGTCAGCACTTGTGAGTGATGAGACATGTGAGAGGAGTGATGCAGCTAATAGTATTGAAGGAGGCATTCTGACTCAGCAACGCGAGAAGTTACGCTGTCTGCAATGCATATTTCCTTTGCCCGAAAAGGCTCGCTCAGTATGTTGGCTTGTACAATATTAATATTTTCAGCTTACCAGTCGTCTTTAAAAAAGTACCTCCAATCGCCGAGCATGCCGTAATTATATAGGCCTCACGTGTTTCGAAAATGGTAAAGTAGTGTTAACGGTTTCCCATTCATGTACGTGATATACGCACTTCAGATCGCGTGCCTTTGTGTTAGAGCATTCCATCGACAATAGAGGGCCGGATAATTCAAACTTCAGCATGCCCGTTGCAATTGTATATCCGGCTGTTTCCAACGGTATCTGGCTATGTTCGCAATAATAATGGGGCCTTCGGTACGGCTACCGAGACGGCTCTGTATTTGTCTTTGGATTGGTACTTACATTCGTACGTGGACTTCTGTGATTTTGCTCAAGCTTTAGTGCCGTTTGTTGCGCTGTGACGATGACAGCTTGGTAGCGGCAGTTGCTCTTGCGCTGGAGGCCTCGTTCGAGGTACAGATTCTTCCCGGTGTCAACATCTCTGACGGTGGTTTGACTCGAGAATAATGTATCTTTGTTAACCGTGCACGTGGCCTTCATGGCGCGCACATTACTTAAAATGTGATAAAACATGTCGATGTGGTGGTTAGCTGCCGGTGCTGGGAATGAACCTCATTTACATGACGGATTTTGTCGCATTTCTCCAGCGCTGTCTATCTACTCAGCAAAATTTCCACGTGCGTGACGTTAGTAGTAACTCGGTATAACATTCGGCAGAAATCGACGACCCCTTTGGATTTGTAAAAACCTGTGCCAAACTGGCGGTCCCCGTTTTGCGGTGGGAGCCCCGTTATGCGGTCATTGGTGGGTTTTGCGGTGGGTTCCCCCAGTTACCAAACTTCTACTTTGCGCACTGACTGGTGTCGGAAATCACTTCGTGGGGAATGAAGCAGTCTGAGAAGCTAGTGATGTATTTAGCTATTTATTTAGCCGCGAGTTCTGATTTCGCTGAAAACACGTCAAATGGCCACTTATGGTACGAGAGCACCGGACATTGACGTCTGGTTTACAATGCCATGTGCCGTTCAATACCCAATTCAAAGTCAAAAGACAGACAATTCCGCGTCGCTCAGAAGTTACAGGCTGATCTCGGTTTTTTAACCACAAAATATTCACCAGCGCATGAACTGGAGTGTCAAAAAATCCTGACCTTTTGAGGTTACTCTACAAGGCAAAAACCACAGACCAAAGAAGGGAAATTCCTTATAGCCCCCCCCCCCCCCCAGATTGTATGAAATAATTTGATGGCGTAGTGTTGCCCGTCATTTGACCTTGGCGGGTGACCAGCACTTTCTGGCGCACGATAGTTTGTGCGCCGAAGAAAAGCCGGTGATTAAAAATCCTAAATCGCCGTTAGGTCTGGATTGATATGGAATTCCCCGTCCTTTAATCTCGCATTTGACCTTAAAGGAGGACGTTGAGGAGTCATAACTTTTTCACGGATCCTAGTTCAGGCGCTGGTGAATATCCTGCTGCTTAAAACTCGAAAATCGGCTGTAGCCTTTGAGTGCTTCAAGTTAAGGATGGCATTGGGAAACCAGAACGGACGCAGCCCGCCTTGTTAGGCTTCCTGTCATTTGACTTCATCACTTCATCACTTCATGACTTCATTACAAGAACCCATGACCAATGCGGATGGTCTCGGAGCGATCAAGAGCGTCTCGGCCGATACGGATTTAGGTCGGGGATGGTGGTGTTAAAATCGTTCGGGCGCTCGACTCTGGACCCGTCAGTCTGAGGTTCGGACCCCGGCCACGCCACCACCGTATCCTACACGAAGACCCCGGCCCACCATCTTATGAAGGCATCCGCCTCGAAATCTCCCTATCAGTCAGCGAGACGTAAAGCCGCTATCCTTTCCACTAAGATTTAGGTCTCCGTCAGCGGCGATAGCAGCAGCGTCAACTTCTGTGATTTGGGAAACCCGAGACCAATAGGAACGGCATTTGAGCGATCGGGGGTGCCGCGGTAGGCCAACAAAGAGATTCCCGTCAACAGTGTAGGGTCTTCAGAGCAAGCGAGAAGAACGTAAGGCCAATACGATGTCTACTGAACGATTTGGAGCATCCCGGCAGGCAAACACATCGGGCCCGACCAGAGCACAGGACCCCCGGAGCAAAGAGGAATAACCCAAGACCAGTGTAAATGAACTAATGCGATCAAAAGTGTCCGGGTAGGTTAATAGAAAGAGCCTGGACAAGAGCGAAGGGTCCTCCACAAATGAGTTCAATGGGGAAGGGACCGAGATCAATGTAGAGGGCACTGATCGTCGAGCGCCTCGGTGCTTTACCTTATATGGGGTCCGGCAACAGCACTAGGCCCTCTGAGCAAGTGGGAAAAACATGATACCAGTGTAAATGGCCACTGAGCAACCGAGTATTTTCCGGGATATGGAACTCCGGCAATAGCGTAAAGAACCTTTCGGTCGAGTGTGAAAAATCTATTTGGGTTCTTTAATCGCTTAAGAGTGTCCAGAAATGTTAGTAATAGTAGTGGCCTCCTATAGTACGACCCTACATTAAAATAGGATGTACCCAGGACCCAATGTGCAGGGCCCCCGAACAACTGGTGTGCCCGAGCAGCTTAACAGACAAGGCCCCCGACTAGGACGCAGGGGCTTCCAAAGAAATTGGAAGTACCCGAAACCCAATACGGAGGGACACAGAACGATCGAGTGTGCCTGAGGTGAGGTGTAACAGATGGGGATTCCGACAAGAGCGTAGAGCCCTCCGCGAATGACGGGGGATCGGAAGGGCCCTAGACCAATGTAGACGGCCTATGAGCATGTCGCGGGTACGGGCGGCCTATGACCACATCGCACTGGCAAAGCCTTGGCAAGGGGGTGTTGGACATAGTTGGCAAAGAACCTTCTGATTGTAAAAATTTGCCCTGAAAATTCACCTAATTTGGCACTCTTGTTAATGAGAATATGTTTTTCTTGTATTTTCCTTTCCTTTTTCTTCAATACACGCTCGGGTGGGGGTCAAATTGACCCCCCCAAAGTTTTTTCCATAATAGTTTCCGAACGGTGCGGCGCAGCCCCGCGAAATTTTGCATAACTGTAGACAGTTGAATAGCGGATCGTTGATGAAAAAATTGGTTACACCTCGTATGGTCGCTGACCTGTGGCAGGTCCAAGTCAGGCCATGGTTTCAGCGAAGCCGATTTCTAGGGAATCGTTCTATCCAATGCAGCAACGGAGTGCTAGACAAAGCCATATATTTCTGAAATGCTTTCTTAAACAACAAAACAACTGAATGAGCAAATTGCATCCACCTAAGGCCAGGTATGAAGGTCAGACCAAGGTCAAAACCAACCTGTTTTATTGCTCTAGGTTTGCTGTATGGGATAGTTTCTGGTGCTCATTTCGAATTTATTAATAGCAGGAACCGCATTCTACATCTTCCATGAACTTTTTAGAGGTCAGAATAAATCATTGACCTAAAATGACCCGGGTCGACACTTAGCTTTTAGGAGCACACTGCCTAGCGTAATCTTTTTCGCTTATTCAGATACACAACTCATAGTAGTCTTGTATCATTTCGGTCACCATGACTTTGAAGAGGTCAAACAAAGTCACTTATCTTAAACGAGCATGTGACGTTTTGCCTAGAAACAGTTCTGTATTTTCTAGGGGCACTTTGGAGACCAACCTGGAATTTGACATTGTTTGATTTTATTTGACCCAAAGGTCATAACCTATAAATCTCAAACCTTGACCTAAGTGAATTTACGTACAGGTTAACATGCCCTGTGAATTTGGTGTTTTTAGCTCTCATAGTTCATGAGATCTCAGGGGGTCAAACTGACCCCGGCCCGAGCGAGAAGTATCCAGCCGGCCACCCGAGGCGCGTGTTAAGTGAAATAAAAGCCAGAAGCTACCGTGAGACAAATTCTGTCCGAATTTTATAATCAATAAACTGGATTAATCATGCGTTTAACGACTGCATGAAATTCATAGACATTGCTCTCCATTCTACAATGTTCCAATGAAAACTTTCTAAACCGATAAAACTCAGAAGCTTCGTCAAAATTTGTATCTGGGTTCTACAGATATATAAGGGGCGCTGTGAATGTAGTCTTTGGATCGAGATCGGCCAATAATTTGTGTTATCATGGCCATGCCATGTTTGGCTGGAAACGTTCAACATTCAGTCGGAACAGACAAGTCATACAAAGGATGTAACGTAGTTCTGAATACGCAAACTCGCAAATCTTACCACTACAAACCTCGACGCCCGACGTCGCAGTCTCCCCATGCCACGCAGCGTCGGCGTCGCGACTAACACTAAATTGTGCCCAACGGGTGGACGAAAACACAGCCTGGTGTTGCTTGCAGTGGCCGACGCAGATCGGTTTTACGGAAACTGCAATCCCCCATCGCTGTCCTTGCTCCCGAGACTTCGGACACGCCGGCTCAAACCTTGTGAAGTAGCTTGTTTCACGAATCGATTGTACAAAAGAATAAACGTTCTCAGTCAGACACGGGATGCTCTTGTTTGTTTTTAGTTCATTTCCACCCATTCTATTCAACACTAATGAGACTCCTGAGTTCTTTCCGGACAAAGGCCCTCCTTGAGAAGAACACTAGAGGGCACATGTTTCCGGTCAATGACTGAAGGGCCATTCCGTCCCACCGCGGGGTGTCTTCCGGCTGTCATTATGGCGACACGGGGCGGAATCCCCTGGCCGACACGAAGGCCTTTGGACGGATATATCATATCACGATGGTCCCCTCCATGATGTGGGAGACCTTTTCACTCGCGCAGTCGGCCGAGGATCGATGCAGGAACCCCCATTGACGCAACAACATCCCTGATCGCCGCAAATGGCTCCGCAGTTGGCACATAGGTTCCAGTTTGGCTTAACGGCCCCGTGCTGGGATTGGGTTGAAGAGCCCACCGCTCGGTACTGGGGGCCCTGACTGGTACAAGACCTTCCATTGTCTCAGTGTGAACACTCATTATAATGTCACATGTTCTCTTTTATGACCAGAGGGCCCCGACCAGCCCAAGAGGCCCATTGTCATTCGGGGTCCCGTCCCCGTCCCTGTTGAGCAAATGTCCGA